CAGGGGGGGCTCGCCGCCCAAAAAGTCAGCGGAACGCATCCAAACGACAGGAACGACCGAGCCCCTTCTGAAGAGAAAGTGCTCCTCACTCCAGCCAGGCCCTGTACTGGACTCCTCCCCCTCCCGACTCAGGGCCCTGCGGCCTGGGTTCTCGTCTTGACCAGGGCACTGGCACACACCCCCAGAGAGCTGCAGCCATGGGCCCGACCCCCCCTTGAACGAAGGATTGCAAAAAAACCCAGGATTGCAAAAAAACCCTTGAACGAAGGATTGCAAAAAACCCAGGTTTTTTTGCAATCCTTGCCTCTCCTCCCCAGACGTCCAGGGCGTCTTCCAAAAGCAAAGGCAGAGGATTCTTCGCCGCGTTCGGCCCCTGCTGGGAAGATCGGAGACGCAGCGAGAAACGAAGGATTGCAACAAAAAACCCAGGATTGCAAAAAACCAAGTTTTTTTTTTTTTTTGCAATCCTAGGTTGTTTTTTGCAATCCTTCGGTTTTTTTTTGCAATCCTTCGTTCACGCGAGAAACGAATCGCTCGGGAACGGAAGCGGGAAACTTCAAACGGAATCGCAACGGAGACGCGCGCAGAAAAGCCAAGGCACGAGGCGGAACGAAACGCTCGAATCCACGAAGTTAAAATGAAGCGGCACGAACAGTTGGAAAGGGAGTAGGATCAGCATCGAGATAATGACTGGAAGGAATGGCAACTACAATGGTAAAGCATATGTGATGAAGATATGAAGGATCAGGAGAGGAAGGAAGAATTCGAGAAGGGGGAAGGGGAAAACGCCTACGACAACAACTAGGAACTAGGAGAGGGCGAAGGACGAAGAGGTGAGCACTGTCCGAAGTACGCGAGAAGAACGCTGCCCAAAGTACGCAGATTCAAAATAACCTGTTGAGGCCCCAAGCGTTGTTTGGAGCACCAGGTTGTGGTGGTGGTAGCTATCTTCTGGCCCTGCTATGGACCAAGGACAGGCTCCAGGGCTTGGAAACATAAACTTCCTAGGCTTCCAGAATGTTGTTTGGAATCCCAGGGGAGGCCGGGGAAGGTGGAGAAGGAGGGAGGAGCGACCGATGCTCTGGGGCAGATCCCCAGAGGTTACCTTGCACTAGGCGGCGCCAGGAGCTTGTCCCCCCCTCCCTGGGATTGCCCAATAGACGTTTGGGTCCAGAGCTGACCCGGGGCTCTGAAAACCATTGGGGAGCGAAGCCATTTTCTGAAAGCCTCCGAGTCCATTACCAGCGGGCCTAGGGCGGGCAAAAACGAGAAGGGAGGGGAACAATCCTGGACACGCTCCGGTTTCGAAAGGATGGCTTCCGGAGCGACGCGGAAACGAAGCAGCGCAGCTCGGCACGAAAACGAAATCGATACGCATCGGGGACACCGCGAGCCAATGACGCGTTTCGCGACGCGCAGCCCTCCTGCCCCCGGGGGGGCCGCCTCCGGGCTGCGGGGGCGTCCGGTGACAAAGAGCCGCGCGGGGCGAAGAGCTGGCCCGTGTGCCCACGTGGGCAGGGTCGGGACTTCCACGGGCCCCGTGTTGGAGAAAGAGCACGGCCTCGGACGTCTGGGTTCTGACACTCCGGGCATGCCCGTCTCGGGGCGGGGGCCTGGAGCTTCCCCGGGAGGTGGCCTGCCTCCAGAGGGTCTCGCTTCGTGCTCGCCTCTCCGGGCGGAGCCTCGGGGCAATATGCTCGGCGCTGCGGTGGGCTGGACGCCCTGCTCGCCCTTCCGGTCTCCTCCTCCTCCTCGTCGTCCTCCTCCTCCTTCTTATCCTTACTTCCTATGATTAAACGCCCCCACATCCCCACCCAGCAAGCCGATAGCAACCCCGCCGTCCTAACGGGGGAAAAAAAACGGCACACAATCAATTTCTTTTCGCCAACATGTCGTCGAATTGCGAAACGTGTAGCGAGAATGGGACATAATGAACATCGTTTCGGGGTAACCCTAAACGGGTGGTCGCGTCCTACCCATCAAAAACAATACAAAGTCCACGTGCTTTTCGTCAACGCGGACTTCCTTGTCGTCGACGCTGCGAAAAGAGTAGCAGTAACGGGACGCGGCGCACATCGCGCGCGGACGCCTGGCCAACCCTACGCCGGATCCCCCGTGCTACCTATCAGAAAACCGCAACGTCGACGTTTTTCTTGCCAACATGTGGTTTCTCCTCGTCGGCGCTGCGAATCGCGTAGGGGGACTGGAACGCGGCGCGCATCGCGAGAGGACGCCTGCTCGTCAACATGGACTTTCTTGTCGTCGACGCTGCGGCCCGTCGGGTTGAGGAGCTGGGCGGGCGGCAAGTCATAATGCCTCAAGCAAATGCGGTTCAAGCAAGTGCCTCACGAGACCTCCAAGAGGCTGAAAAACGGCGTCCAGGAGGTCCTGGGGGGGCAACGCAAATATTGATTTTCATTTGGCGTTTGAAAGATTGTGAGGTTTTCACCCACTTGTGTTGACAATGTTCCAACCCGGAAGATATATCCAAGAGGCCTTCAGGAGTATGCCAGAAAGTTCGCAAGACGCCCCGCGAATTCCCAAGAGGCATTCTTCTCTTCCTCCCCGATTTCTCCCTCCTTCCCTCTCTCCCTCCCCTCCGCCTCCTCCTCCTCCTCCTCCTTCTCCTCCTCCTCCTCCTCCCCCTCCTGCTCCCGCTGCAGCGCTGGCCTCATTTCCGTGCTTCCACTCGTTCCGAATCGTGCTCCCGCTGCAGCGCTGGCATCATTTCCGCGCTTCCGCTCGTTTCGACTCCTGCTCCCGCTGCAGCGCTGGCGTCATTTCCCGTGCCATGCCACGGCATGCGCTGCAATGCTAGGTTGATGCTACGTTCTGCGGTGCTCTTCTACGCCATGCCTTGCCGTGCTCTACAATGCATCGCGTACCCATCATTGCCCTGCTCGACATCCGACTGAGCGAGTAGAGAGGGGATCTGCGCCAGAGTAAGGGATGGGAGGGAGGGTTGGATGTCAGATATGACGCGAACGCACCTAGCTTGTCCTCCTCCCCCTCCTCCATGCACGGTAGGAGCGAAACGAATGGCGGTGCAACACGCGTGGGTGGAATGAGATGCGGCGCACTTCGCGCGCTGGGCATGTTGTCGCCGACGATGCAACATGAGAGGCCGGAGCGGGGCGCGGTGTACATCGCGCGCGGTCTTGTTTCTCGTCGACGTTGCTCAATACGCGGCAGGAAGAGGACGCAGCTCATGTCGCGCGCTGAACGTCTAGCCGCCCACGATATTAGATGAGTGGCAGGCGTCGGACGCGACGCACTTGCTTCTTATGTTGTGGGAGGGCGGGTGGGAGCGGACGGAGCCCTGTGGCTCGTCCGAGATGGCTAACTTGACCCTCGCCCTCACCCTCTCCCTCCTTCTCCCCGCCCTCCTTCTCCTCCTCCTCCTCCTCCTCCTCCTCCTCCTCCTCCTCGATGTCGACCCTTCTGAGCAATCGGGGGCTCCCCTCGTCGCCAAGGATGGATCTGGCTCGATGTCCTGGTCGGAGCTCGCTCCAAAAGAGATCTGGGGCCGTCGCCGTCGTCGTTGTCGTCGCCGTCGTCGTCGTCGTCGTCGTCGTCGTTCCCATGCCTGGGCAACAGGCCGGCCTGGGGAGGACCAGTGCACTGGGTGACGGGCGTGTGCAGGCGCTGCAGGAGGATGAGGGGCACACTGAGGCATCATCACTTTGAGTGCGACGCGGGCCTGAACATGAGGAGGGGCATGTGCCCGCCTGAGGTGCTCCAGGCGGCGAAGGAGGTGAGGAGGCAAGGAGAAGAAGCAGGCGAGAGGCTCGCCAGAGGCATCTTCCCAGAGGACACGCAGGCGTGGACGGAGCCTCACGAGAGGCGCGACAGGGACGAGGTGACCTGGATCAAGAGGCCCCCCGCTGGGCTTCCTCCAGGGCAGAGTGTTCGTGGACGGCTCGGCCGCAGAACCTGAGGGGGGAGGTGCTGAGGAGAGCGGGCTGCTCGATCGTCCAGCACAGCGGCGAGGGGGATCAAGTGCTGGGTGCGGTCTGTGGAACGGCCCTGCTAGCGTGGGCTTCTATGCAGCTGGCGAGGGACGGCGAGGACTACGCCTTCCACTTCCTGGCGGGATGCTCGCAAGCGCCGCTGGAGGTGTTCAGCGACTGTACGGGCTTGATCAGCCAGGCGGTGGGGAAGGAGGTGGGGGAGGAAGGGGGGGGAGGGGGTGGGCGAGGACCAGGAGGAGGAGGAGGAGGAGAAGGAGAAGGAGGAGGAGGAGGAGGAGGAGGAGGAGGAGGAGAAGGAGGAGGAGGAGGAGAATGATGATGAGGAGGAGGAGGAGGAGAAGGAGGAGGAGGAGGACGAGGAGGAGGACGAGGAGGAAGAAGAGGAGGAGAGAACGGGGGGGAGAAGGGGAGGCAGGCGCTACCGCCTCATGCTGGTCAAAGTCAGCCGATGTAACATTGTGTGTGTGTGTGTGTATGTGTGTGTGTGTGTGTGTGGCGTGCGGCCGCCGAAGACCGCCGACGGCCGGCGATGGCCGCGTCGCCGCCACCCACGCCGCCGGCGCCGCCGCGCCGCTGCTCGGCGCCGCTGCGAAAACTGCCGATGCGACCGCAGGTGGCCCTCCAGCCCTCTGGTGACGACCCCTGCGCGCCCGCGCGCACCGCGCACTGCGCCATTTGGGCGTTTCAAAAATCGGAGGGCATCTGGAGGTGTGTGTGTGTGTGTGTGATGAAAGGTGCGCCTGACGCGCGCCGCCTTCGGTGCCCCAAAGGGGGCCTTCTTCAGGGCCCCTTCCCTGCAACTGCAACCCTTGGGTCCTCCGCCGCTGATCGCCCCCCTCCTCCTGACTACCTACCAGACCACCCCAACCCAACCCGAAGACCCGAATTTCGGGTTGGGGGGGTTAATGGTTCCACACGTGTTTGTTCGATGTTTCCCGACCCCCCCCCACTGGAAATCGAGGGTAATTCTGAGCCTTCGGGTTGGGTTGGGGTGGTTTGGTGAGTGGTGACCTCCCCCCTCACGGTGCGCCCGAGCCAGCGCTCCCTTCCTTGAGCCGGGGCCGCGCCCAGCCTTCGCTCCGCCGCCGCGGCGGCCGGCCCCCGTTTCCGCCCGCGGCGCGATCCCAGAGGCGCCGCCGCCGCGAAGAGGCGGCTCCTGCTGCCGCCTCCCTCCCTCCCTCCCTCCCTCGCCTTCTCCAACTCCTCCTCCTCCTCCTCCTCCTCCTGCCCGCCTCGTCATTCCTCCTTTCTCCTCCCCTTGCTTTTCTCCTTTGCCCCTCCTTCTCCTTCTGCTCCTCCTCCTCCTCCTCCTCCTGCCCGCCTCGTCATTCCTCCTTTCTCCTCCCCTTGCTTTTCTCCTTTGCCCCTCCTTCTCCTCCTGCTCCTCCTCCTCCTCCTTAAATGCAGCTCTCGCTTTAGCGCGCTGGGCCTTGCGTGTGGACCTAACCACATCCAGTGGTTATTCCGATGGCGGGTGGCCAATTGTTTTCAAAGTGTGGCGCTCTCATGACCACCGCGCGCATTTGTAGATACACATGCGCACATCTGGTTATGTCTATGAATATGTATGTGTATGTGCCGGTGTATGTATCTATGTTTTCTATGTGCACATGCATGTAAATCCATATATGCACGTGTACACATACACAATTATTTATATATATATATATATATATGTGCACACACAAACCTGTACATGCACAATTGTATACATATCTATATATACATCTATATTTACACACGTACACACACATACACTAGAACCATCGCGCGCGCTCCGCGCGCGCGCTCAAGTTCTAGCTGGGCTTGATGGGCTAATTCATGAAATCTCATGTTGGTCGTTTCTTGCATCCAGGGACTCTCTTGGAGGCCCTGCGCAAGCCTCGGAATCGTATAGGAAGGGAACCGCGGAAACGCAGAATTCATGAGTTGCCGTTGGGTATTCAACGATTTGGGGCACTAAAGGCTTCCTGGGTTCTTTTCTGGGAGCTGAGGTGGGCCTTTATTATGGTCTGTTGTGCAAGAGTAGACAGGGGGGGCGAACTGGAAAAAAGGAATTGTGGGATTCCTTTTTTTCAAGTTGCCGTGCCTGGGTGTGGGTTCGAATCTTTTTGGATGCAGGCCACGGTCTGTTGGGATGCCTCTCGTGGCCTTCGTGCAGTTATAGGCATGAGGGGAGTTTGAACAAACAAGGGAGTCTGAAATTCCTTTTTTTCCCAACTCATGGGATCATGGGATCTCGATTTCCACGGTGGTTTCAGGGGCAGCCAAAGGACACGAAGACAATCCAAGAAAATGCCAAGACACCGTCAAAGAGTTCAACACCATTCCTGAGAAATCTTTGCATGTGACCCCGAAGTCTTGATGGGGCAGGAGGACGAGGATATGGAGTAGGAATCCCAACCTGAAAAAATATGAATCTCTGGAATTCCCCTTTTTCCGTTCCTCGGTCTTTGAGGTAACGGAAAGAGCGAGGTACGAGTGATGACGTTCAGGTGGGGCGAAGCCCTAGAGGGAGGGGGTCCAGGGGAGGGGGGAAGCGTGCGGGAATTGGCGTTAATGGCCGCCCCCCCCCCCCCCCAAGACGGTCCCAGAGGCGCCCAAGACTGCCCAAGAGGCGCCCAAGAATGCCCAAGAGGCGCTCAATACAGCTCCAAGGCGGTCCCAGAGCGCTCCGAAACTGCCAAAGTTGTGTCCGAGATGGTCCAAGAGGCCTCCAAGACGCCCTAAGATGGCTCCAAGACGGTCCAAGAGGCCCCGAAGACGCCCCAAGTGGCCTCCAAGAGGCTCCCCATGAGGCCCCGATGAGGCAAACATCAAATATTTTTAAATGGTTTTTGAAGGTTTTTCGGATTTCGCTTTGTCGGGCCATGAACTGCCGAAAACGACCCAGGTGGCTCCAAAGCTCGCCCAAAGACGTCCCAAGAGGCCCCCAAAAGCGAGCGAAAACGGCCCAAGAGTGCCCCAAGATGGCCCCAGAGGAGCCTAAAACACCCCAAGAGGGCCCCAAGACTGGCACAGGGGGCTCCGAAAGGGTCCCAAGACGGTCCCAAGACGGCCCAGGAATACTGTCCAGCAAGTGTTTTTTGAGAGGGCTTCCCAAAAACACTTCCCACGTCTGCCCAAAAGATGCCCGAAGAGGCCCCAAGAGGTCCCGAGAGGGCCCCAAGACTGGCCCAAGACGGCCCCAGAGGCTCCCAAGAGCCCCCAAAACGGCCCAAGAGGGCGCCAAGACGGCCCAAGAGGCGCCCAAGACGGCCCAAGAGGGCCCCAAAACGGCCCCAGAAGGGGGACCACGAACCCGAAAGTCTAGCCTTTCGCCCCAAGACGCTCCCAGGAGGCCCCAGACCCCCAAGAAGCCCCAAGAGGCCCCCAAGAGGCCCCCAAAGGGGCTCAAAAAGGGCCGCAATAGGACTCCCAAGAAGGCTCAGAGAAGCCAAATAAAGAGCGATCGGTAACGCAAAATGCTCTTCACACCAAGGCTCCCAAGAGCGAACGGTGACGTAAACAAGCTGATAAGACCAAGGCTCCCAGCAGGGAGCGATGACGTAACAAGTTCCTGACACCAAGGCCCAGCCAAGGCTCAGGAACGGGCGGCAACACAACAATCTCTGAACATCAAGGCTCCCAGGAGCGCGGGGTGACGTAACAAGCTCTCAACGCCAAGGCTCCCAGTACGAACGGTGGTGTGAGTAATTTCGGTCAAGTTGTTGAAGCGCTCTTTCCGTTTCCGTGCCGGTCCAGGTCTATTGGAGGCTTTCTGGCAGCCTGGAAAGCTGACAGAAGGCAATCTTGGATTACTTGGGAGCGTCTTGGGCCGTTCTTTTACGATCTGGAAACTTCTTGGGGTCGTCTTGGGCTGTCCTTGGGCGTTTTGGGGATCCCCCGGGGCCGGAACGCGCGGTTCTAGGAGCGTTCCGCAGATGTTCCGGGTAGGTGTGGGACGTCCTTTTCTTTTCTTCCGAGTTCCTCGGTCTTTGAGCGTTGGAAGCGGGAAAACGGGAGATGGCGAAAAACGTAGCGGGACGGCTCTCGAAGCTCTCTTGGGCTGTTTTTGGGGCCTCGTCGGGGCTTCTTTGGGGCCTCTCAGGGGTCTGGGGTGTGTTGGGAGCCTCTGGGGGGTCCCCGAGTCCTCTCGCTTGGGCCCATCTTGGGCCTGTTCTGGGGTGGTCTGGAGCTGTCCTGCGCCTCTTCGGCAATCTTGGGGCCTTCTTGGCCCGTCTTGGGGCCGTCTTGGGGGCCTCTTGGGCGGTCTTGGGGCGGTCTTGGGGGCCTCCAAGAGACCTCGAGAGAACTCTGAGAGGCCTCCCGAGAGCGCCCGGAGAACCTAAAACCGTTAATTTTTATTTTTTGTTTCTAGGTTTGGCCTTCTCACTGTTTCATGCTTCCAACGGGAGCCTGGAGAGCCGCCCGAAAGCTATCTTGAATTGCTTGGGAGCGTCTTGGGCGTTTCTTGTACGTTCTGGGGGCTTCTTGGGGTCGTCTTGGGTCTTGGGTTGTCTGTGGGCGTTTTGGGGGCACCCCGGAAGGCCGGGAAGCGCGGTGCCGGGAGCGTAATCCAAATGTCATCGAGGTGGAGAACGCCCCGGGAGGGGCCCGGCCTATACATATACATATATTCCTCTTCCTATATTTTTACCGGCCCAAGGGGGGGAAAAACCCTCACCCCCCGCCCCCCCAAAACTGGACCCCCGGGATCTGAGGCTCTCGGGCTCCCTTGGACGTCCTTAGAAAAGGTCACCCAGCTTTCCGGATCTCCACAAACGCTTTGCCAGCAGACCCAGAGCGATCCGAGGGGTCATCAGGAAGGCTCAAGGGAGGCCCCAGACAGCTCAAGAGCGCTCCGAGAGGGACTCCAATTGCGTCAGGACTGCCCAAAAAAACCCCAAGGCACCCCAAAAGCTTTCCAAGGGGCCTTCAAAACACAAACATCGTCCCAATCCCTTCGTAAAACTTACAGTTTTAGCAGATTCGCCTTTCGGATTTTATCAGCTTTCAAGACGGTGCCAAAGCCCCCGAGATCGCCTCCAGACGCCCCAAAAGACCCCCAAGAAAGCTTCAAGACGGCCGAGCCGGGCCCCACGATCGCCCACGAGAGCCCCAAGACAGCCCATAATGGAACCAAGAGGCCCCCCAAGGGCTCCCAGCACAGACCCAAAAGGGCCATGGGAGGTCCCCGGAAGTGCCCAAGATGGGTCCAAAGGGGGCTCCAGCGGGCCCAAGCTCCCCAAGACGGCCCAAGAAGGCCCCAGGACGGCCCATGAAGGCGCCCAAACGGCCCACGAGGGCCCCGAAAACACCCCCACGATGTTTCCGAATGCCAACATAAAGACCCCCAAGGCACCCCAAAAAGCTTTCCAAAGGGCCTTCAAAACACAAACATCGTCCCAATCCCTTCGTAAAACTTACAGTTTTAGCAGATTCGCCTTTCGGATTTCATCAGCTTTCAAGACGGTGTCAAGGCCCCCGAGATCGCCCGAAGACGCTCCAAAAGGCCCCCTAGAAAGCTTCAAGACTGCCGAGCCGGGCCCCACGATCGCCCACGAGAGCCCCAAGACAGCCCATAATGGAACCAAGAGGCCCCCCAAGGGCTCCCAGCACAGACCCAAAAGGGCCATGGGAGGTCCCCGGAAGTGCCCAAGATGGGTCCAAAGGGGGCTTTAGCAGGCCCAAGCTCCCCAAGACGGTCCAAGAAGGCCCCAGGACGGCCCATGAAGGCGCCCAAACGGCCCACGAGGGCCCCGAAACACCCCCACAATGTTTCCGAATGCCAGCATTCATTGATTTTGCTCCCATGACATTTCGCATTGTGACCCAGTCGTTGAGGGTCTCGTGGCATGCACCGAAGATGCCCGAGGATGCCCCGTACGAGTTGCATATGCATGCCATACCCTTACACACATACATTTATATGTACATATGTACGCTGTATACACACATACAACAATGTACGTATATTGCATACACCTAAAAAATTATACGGAACGTGCATGCACGTGCGCGTGTATACATGCATGCGCGCATGTACGCACGCACGTATTCCGCTTGCGTGCAGAACTCAAAGGACCAAGGTGCATGGCGCGCAGCGCCAATGCAGTCTTGTAAAGATATATATATATGTATGTGTGAGATGATTGCGTTGGCGCTTCGCGCCATGCACCTTGGCCCTT